GAACCCGCCACCTTAGGTGTACATGGCTGGCGCCTTAGCCGGTTGAGCTATAGGCGCCGAGCCTTAAATTTTTTTTTTAATAAGGAGAATCATATTTGTTCAAAGTCCCATGCACAGAGGCAAAGAAGAGAATAAATTTTAGGTAGTACACATAGGAAGGTTAGGCTAATGATTCAGTTGCATTCTTTCAGTCTCACTTGTTAGAAACAACAGTCTTATCCAGAAGTTCTCAAATAAAAATTAACTTACTCATTCAAAAAAATATTTTTGTTAGCCAGGCTAGTGGCACATCCCTGTAGTCACAGCTACTTGGAAGGCTATGGCAGAAGGATTGATTGAGCCTGGGAATTTGAGGTTACATTAAGCTATGATGATGCTACTATACTCTAGCCCAGGCAACAGAGTGAGACCTTGTTTCAAAAATACATGTATTTTTGAGAGGTGTTTATTAATTCAACAGACATTTGTTGAGAGCCTACTATGTACCTGGTACTTATCTAGGTACTGAAGATATCACAGTGAACAAAATAGTACAAGTCACTGTGGAGCTTACACTCTGAGGACAGAGGCAGACAGAAAACAAGTACACATATTAGTTCATAGACTCTTAAGTTGCCGTCAACTGTTAATATGTACTGGTATTCTGTGTACCACCAAGAAAAGAAAAAGTGCTTAAGACAGAGAGTATACTAGGAGACCCCCACATGGAGCTGGGTCACTGAAAAGCTTGCACTTTGAATGAAAAGATAGACAAAAAATATTCTTCCACACAGAAAAGGACAGCAGGGAAACTCAACTACCTCAAAGTTGGCACCGTGTAATGGGAGGGAAAATATCTACCCTGAGAATATGAGCCACAAGTCAGTATGCCGTCCAAATGCACTCTGTCAGTGTAGTCTAAACAAAATCCTCAAATAGAACTTAATTTCAGTCATCTCAGGTTGGTAGCATTCCTGAGTACTAGCAGAAGTAAATGCAAATCTCCATGGAAGAAGGACTCAGTGTCAGTCCAGGCCCATGGTCATTTTAAGACGTATCATGTTTTAAGACATTTCATCTTTTAGTTGTGTTAAATAAAAACTAATGCTCCTCTTGAAATCAACAAAATATGATTGCTGTCATGTCAGGCAGTAATAAATGCAATGAAGAACAATAAAGCTGGGTAAGGTGTAAAGAACAACAGGGCCACAGATGGGGAAAGCCATTTTATATGAAGGGACTTCAAAAAGTTCATGGAAAAGTGGAATTAAAAGATAAAAATATAAACTTTATTTCTTAATGTAAGTCTATAAAGTTCAAGACACTTTTGTAAGTGATGATACCAGCTGTTTAGTCTATCCCCAAAGTACTGAATGTCCTAGGAATTTAACCATGTCAATGCAGTCTTTTTTTTTTTTGTACATTATTAATTAAAGAAAAATAGATGCCTTTTATAGATTTCTTAAGATTAGAAAGAGAAAGGAGAAAGAAGTCAGAAGGAGCCAAATGAGGATAAAGTAGATGCCTAATAATTTTCCATCAAGACTGTCCCAAAATTGCACTTGTTTGGTGAGAGGAATGAGCAAGAGCATTGTTGTGATGGAGAAGGACTCTCTGGTGAAACTTTTCTGGGTGTTTTTCCATTAAAGCTTTGGATAATTTTCTCAAAACACTATTATAATAAACAGATGTTATTGTTTTGTGGCCCCCAGAAAGTCAACAAGCAAAATACTATGAGCATCCCCTAAAACTGTTGTGATGGCCTTTGCCCTTCACTGGTTCACTTTCGTTATGACTGGACCACTCCCACTTCTTGGTAGCCATTGAATTAATTGTGTTTTGTCTTCAGGATCCTACTGGTAAAGCCAAGTCCCATTTCCTGTTACAATTCGTGGAAGAAATGTTTCCAGATCTGGATCCCACCTTTTAAAAATTTCCATTGAAAGAGGCTGGGCGTGGTGGCTCATGCCTGTAATGCTAGCACTCTGTGTGACTGAGGCCGGTGGATTGCTTGAGCTCATGAATTTGAGACCAGTCTGAGCAAAAGCAAGACTCCATCTGTACTAAAAGGAGAAAAACTGGGCGACACCTGTAGCTCAGTGGGTAGGGCGCCAGCCACATACACCCAGGTTGGTGGGTTCAAACCTGCCCACGTCAGCTAAACAACAATGACAGCTACAACCAAAAAATAGCTGGGTATTGTGGCGGGTGCCTGTAGTCCCCGCTACTTGGGAGGCTGAGGCAAGAGAATCGCTTAAGCTGTGAGCTGTGATGCTATGGCACTCTACTGAGGGCAACATTGTGAGACTCTGTCTCAAAAAAAAAAAATAGAAAAACTGAGGCAAGAGGATCATTTGAGCCAAAGAATTGGAGATTGCTGTGAGCTATGACGTGACAGTACTCTACTCATGGTGACAGCTTGAGATTCTGTCTCAAAAAAAAAAATTTCCATTGAAAGCGCTGCTCTTGTCTGCAGGTGATCTGG